CCCTGTACATTTTGCTGTATGATGTCCTTTTGTTCTTTATGTTTTTATGTCTTCTTGTGGAACCTACTGCTGCAGGTCTCCCTTGAAAAAGAGATCATTGATCTCAATGGGATTTTACCTGGATAAATTACATTACATTACATTACATGTCACTTGTTAGACGCTTTTATCCAAAGCGACTTACATACTCAATACTGTGGACAATCCCCACAGGAGCAATTTGGGGTGAAGTGTCTTGCCCAGGGACACAACGACATACTGACTGCAGTGGGGTTTGAACCTGTGACCTCCTGATCCGAATACCAACTCACAACCCACTGCACCACACGCTGCCCTCTAAATAAAGGTTTTGAATTGAATTGAATTGCAGACTGAAGAACTACATTAGCTAAAGAACTACATTATCTACAGAACTACATTACCTATAGAACTACATTACCTAAAGAACTACATTACCCAGCTGCAGACTGAAGAACTACATTACCTACAGAACTACATTACCTATAGAACTACATTACATACAGAACTACATTACCTACAGAACTACATTACCTACAGAACTACATTACCTACAGAACTACATTACCCAGTTGCAGACTGAAGAACTACATTACCTACAGAACTACATTACCTACAGAACTACATTACCCAGCTGAAGACTGAAGAACTACATTACCTAAATAACTACATTACCTACATAACTACATTACCCAGCTGCAGACTGAAGAACTACATTACCTACAGAACTACATTACCTATAGAACTACATTACCTATAGAACTACATTACCTAAAGAACTACATTACCCAGCTGCAGACTGAAGAACTACATTACCTACAGAACTACATTACCTACAGAACTACATTACCTACATTACCCAGCTGCACACTGAATAACTACATTACCTACAGAACTACATTACCCAGCTGCAGACTGAAGAACTACATTACCCACAGATCTACATTACCTAAATAACTACAGTACCTACAGAGTAGGCTTGTTTGAGACAAGCAAGACCTGCGCAGACCTGCGCAGTTGCGATCAACGTCTTGCTAGTGCGTTGCATGATGGTTAGTCATTTTGTCCGACTTGCTCTGGAGGCCCGCCCACATGAGACTTTGAAATTTCGCGGGACAAAGACGCCCGCAGCCTTGAGAGCGAGGCGAGGCGAGTTGGCGCAGTTGCTCTCCACGGGCTGCGGAAGCGAAATGCTTGATGGGAAACGGCTCGCTGGTATCTCGAGCTGAGCGCTCATTGGTGGTTTTTACCACGTGCTGCTGATGAAACTCTCCAATTGGCTGGCAAAAGTTTGTTGTTGTTTTGTGTCTGTTTTACGTCGCCACATCCATTCCCATTTTTCATCATTGTTCCACAATGTTTATCATCATGAAATTAATATCTATATATTTTATACTATACTTGCACTGCTTACCGTTTTCATACTTTATATATCTTAGTATATTCATACACACTGTTCATACTGCTCTCAGGCTGCTGTGTATATATAGTGTATTCATACCCCTCACTGTTTATTCATCATTCAATTCATTCTATATTTTATTCTGTAGATTGTGTACATTACTTTTCACGTTACTGCTTGTTGCACCTGGTTAGAAGCTAACATGCATTTCGTTGTCTCAGTACCTGTAATATGTGCAATAACAATAAAGTTGAATCTAATCTGGAGCAGGAACAAATGTATTTACTTAGTACATATCTGACATTAACGATTAAACACATGTGTGCATTCTTTATCAATCAATCAATCAATGTTTATTTATATAGCCCAATATCACAAATGTTACATTTGTCTCAGTGGACTTTACAGTTTGTACAAAATATCAGTATGACAATACGACACCCTCTGTCCTTAGACCCTCACATCGTACAAGGAAAAACTTCCGAAGAAAACCCACAGTTATAAATGCAAACCGAGTCAAGCCGACTCCGGAGGTGGCAGTATGCACCTTAAAGTTGTTTGCAATCCGCCAAAAAACCGAGAGAAGAAGAAGAAGACGAAGCCGACTCCGAGCATGGACTCCGAGCTGTCCGACTTCAGGCGAGCTTTTTGAGACCTCCCCCGGCTGCGATCGGCTATTCTCGTCTACTTTCGAGGCGAGCCGCAACGCGTCTCAAACAAGCCTAGTAACATTACCCAGCTGCAGACTGAAGAACTACATTACCTACAGAACTACATTACCTATAGAACTACATTACCTACAGAACTACATTACCCAGCTGCAGACTGAAGAACTACATTACCTACAGAACTACATTACCCAGCTGCAGACTGAAGAACTACATTACCCACAGATCTACATTACCTAAAGAACTACAGTACCTACAGAATAACATTACCCAGCTGCAGACTGAAGAACTACATTACCTACAGAACTACATTACCTATATAACTACATTACCTACATAACTACATTACCTACAGAACTACATTACCTACAGAACTACATTACCTATATAACTACATTACCTATAGAACTACATTACCTAAAGAACTACATTACCTACAGAACTACATTACCTACAGAACTACATTACCTATAGAACTACATTACCTAAAGAACTATATTACCTACAGAACTACATTACCTACAGAACTACATTACCTATATAACTACATTACCTACATAACTACATTACCTACAGAACTACATTACCTACAGAACTACATTACCCAGCTGCAGACTGAATAACTACATTACCTACATAACTACATTACCTACATAACTACATCACCTAAAGAACTACATTACCTACAGAACTACATTACCTAACGAACTACATTACCCAGCTGCAGACTGAAGAACTACATTACCTACAGAACTACATTACCTACAGAACTACATTACCCAGCTGCAGACTGAAGAAATACATTACCTACAGAACTACATTACCTACAGAACTACATTACCCAGCTGCAGACTGAAGAACTACATTACCTACAGAACTACATTACGCAGCTGCAGACTGAAGAACTACATTACCTACAGAACTACATTACCTACAGAACTACATTACCCAGCTGCAGACTGAAGAACTACATTACCTACAGAACTACATTACGCAGCTGCAGACTGAAGAACTACATTACCTACAGAACTACATTACCTACAGAACTACATTACCTACAGAACTACATTACCTACAGAACTACATTACCTACAGAACTACATTACCCAGCTGCAGACTGAAGAACTACATTACCTACAGAACTACATTACGCAGCTGCAGACTGAAGAACTACATTACCTACAGAACTACATTACGCAGCTGCAGACTGAAGAACTACATTACCTACAGAACTACATTACCTACGCTAGGCTTGTTTGAGACGCGTTGCGGCTCGCCTTGAAAGTAGACGAGAGTAGCCGATCGCAGCCGGGGGAGGTCTCAAAAAGCTCGCCTGAAGTTGGACAGCTCGGAGTCGTCTTCGTCTTTTTCTTCTTCTCTCGGTTTTTTGGCGGATTGCAAACAACTTTAAGGTGCATACCGCCACCTCCGGAGTCGGCTTGACTCGGTTTGCATTTATAAAGAATGCACACGTGTTTAATCGTTAATGTCAGATATGTACTAAGTAAATACATTTGTTCCTGCTCAAGATTAGATTCAACTTTATTGTTACTGCACATATTACAGCTACTGAGACAACGAAATGCAGTTTAGCTTCTAACCAGGAGCAACAAGCAGTAAAGTGAAAAGTAATGTACACAATCTACAGAATAAAATATAGAATGAGTTGAATGATGAATAAACAGTGAGGGGTATGAATACACTAGATATACACAGCAGCCTGAGAGCAGTATGAACAGTGTGTATGAATATGCTAAGATATATAAAGTATGAAAACGGTAAGCAGTGCAAGTATAGTATAAAATATATGGATATTAATTTAATGATAAATATTGTGGAACAATGATGAAAAATGGGAATGGATGTGGCGACGTAAAACTGACACAAAACAACAACAAACTTTTGCCGAGCCAATTGGAGAGTTTCATCACCAGCACGTGGTAAAAACCACCAATGAGCGCTCAGCTCGAGATACCAGCGAGTCGTTTCCCATCAAGCATTTCGCTTCCGCAGCCCGTGGAGAGGAACTGCGCCGCCTCGCCGCGCCTCGCTCTCAAGGCTGCGGGCGTCTTTGTCCCGCGAGATTTCAACGTCTCATGTAGGCGAGCCTCCAGAGCAAGTCGGACAAAATGACTAACCATCATGCAACGCACGAGCAAGACGTTGATCGAAATTGCGCAAGTCTCGCTTGTCTCAAACAAGCCTATTACCTACAGAACTACATTACCTAAAGAACTACATTACCTACAGAACTACATTACCTATAGAACTACATTACCTATAGAACTACATTACCTAAATAACTACATTACCCAGCTGCAGACTGAAGAACTACATTACCTACATAACTACATTACCTATAGAACTACATTATATATAGAACTACATTATCTACAGAATTACATTACCTATAGAACTACATTACCCAGCTGCAGACTGAAGAACTACATTACCTACAGAACTACATTACCTATAGAACTACATTATAGAACTACATTATCTACAGAATTACATTACCTATAGAACTACATTACCCAGCTGCAGACTGAAGAACTACATTACCTATAGAACTACATTACCTACAGAACTACATTACCTACAGAACTACATTACCTATAGAACTACATTATCTACAGAATTACAATACCTATAGAACTACATTACCCAGCTGCAGACTGAAGAACTACATTACCTACAGAACTACATTACCCAGCTGCAGACTACAGAATTACATTACCTATAGAACTACATTACCTATAGAACTACATTACCCAGCTGCAGACTGAAGATCTACATTACCTACAGAACTACATTACCTACAGAACTACATTACCTACATAACTACATTACCCAGCTGCAGACTACAGAACTACATTAACTACAGTGAGTGTGTGAGTGTGTGTGTGTCTCACCACAGTTGTGTCTTCCCGGTTCCCGGCGCTCCACAGATCTCGGTGGTCTTCCCGACAGGAAGTCCCCCCCCCAGCGTGGCGTCCAGCTGTGAGCAGAAGCTGAAGATGCTGCGCTGCGACTGTTCTTCCTGAAGCAGCTGCAGCGCAGTGAGGGAGGGGAAAGGTCCTACTGAAGCTCCTCCCACTCCCCCTCCCCCTGAAGCACCTCCCCTCCTTGAAGCTCCTCCCCTCACTGCCTGCAGCACCTGCAGCGCCTCCTGCTGGGAGACTCCGGCCTCTGCACCACAAACACTGAGTTAGACATTCCATTCCATTGCATTGCATTTAGCTGAGGCTTTTATCCAGAGAGACTTACAGTAAGTGCGTTCGACCAACAAGATACAACCTTGAAGAAAACAGAATCATATACATCAGGTTTCATAGAGCCAAACATTTCAAGTGCTACTCAACTGGCTTTAGATAAGCCAGTCCTTTGTTAGTATATCAGTGCTTTGTTAGTATATCAGTGCTTTGTTAGTAATTCTATCGCTGGAAGTGGAGTCGAAAGAGATGAGTTTTCAGTCTGGAAGGTGTGTAAGCTATCTGCTGTCCTGATGTCAATGGGGAGCTCATTCCACCATCTTATGTTTCATAAACGGTTTCAAATCAGCATCTCTTAGACAAAAAGTTTAAATGAATAACTCAAATAAAACTCCAAACATCTTTCATTGTATTTCAAAGCTCTTTTAGTTTTAAACCTCATGTTTATAAGCTTCTTAGTTTTTGCAACGGTCTGTAAATATACACAACTTTATAATAAAATGCACACATTTACCTTTTTCTCGACTAAACACAGGTTTGATCCTCAGTTAAAAACATATGAGGTTATCATGAGGTTGTTAACATCGCAGTTTATCAGTGGCTGTTTGCTGGAACTACTTGTTAACAGCGTGTTTCCTGACGGACACACAGCGTGACTCCGGTCAGGTAGAGACCGGTCTCAGTCAGCACCGCTGCAGACTCGCTGTTTGAGGGCTTGATAGCCCACTCCCCCTCCACACTGCTCCACACCCCCTCCTCTCCCCCTCCACACCGCTCCACACCCCCTCCACACCGCTCCACACCCCCTCTCCCCCTCTTCTACTTTTACTCAAGTACAACAAGATCTGAGTACTTCTACTTTTACTCAAGTACAAGATCTGAGTACTTCTACTGAAGTACAATATCTGAGTACTTCTACTTTTACTGAAGTACAAGATCTGAGTACTTCTACTTTTACTCAAGTACAAGACCTGAGTGCTTCTACTTTTACTCAAGAACAAGATCTGAGTGCTTCTACTTTTACTCAAGTACAAGATCTGAGTACTTCTACTTTTACTGAAGTACAAGATCTGAGTACTTCTACTTTTACTCAAGTACAAGACCTGAGTGCTTCTACTTTTACTCAAGAACAAGATCTGAGTGCTTCTACTTTTACTCAAGTACAAGACCTGAGTACTTCTACTTTTACTCAAGTACAAGACCTGAGTGCTTCTACTTTTACTCAAGTACAAGATCTGAGTACTTCTACTTTTACTCAAGTACAAGACCTGACTACTTCTACTTTTACTAAAGTACAAGATCTGAGTACTTCTACTTTTACTCAAGTACAAGATCTGAGTACTTCTACTTTTACTGAAGTACAATATCTGAGTACTTCTACTTTTACTGAAGTACAAGATCTGAGTACTTCTACTTTTACTCAAGTACAAGATCTGAGTACTTCTACTTTTACTCAAGTACAAGACCTGAGTGCTTCTACTTTTACTCAAGTACAAGATCTGAGTACTTCTACTTTTACTCAAGTACAAGATCTGAGTACTTCTACTTTTACTGAAGTACAATATCTGAGTACTTCTACTTTTACTGAAGTACAAGATCTGAGTACTTCTACTTTTACTCAAGTACAAGATCTGAGTACTTCTACTTTTACTCAAGTACAAGACCTGAGTGCTTCTACTTTTACTCAAGTACAAGATCTGAGTACTTCTACTTTTACTCAAGTACAAGATCTGAGTACTTCTACTTTTACTGAAGTACAATATCTGAGTACTTCTACTTTTACTGAAGTACAAGATCTGAGTACTTCTACTTTTACTCAAGTACAAGATCTGAGTGCTTCTACTTTTACTCAAGTACAAGACCTGAGTGCTTCTACTTTTACTCAAGTACAAGACCTGAGTACTTCTACTTTTACTCAAGTACAAGACCTGAGTGCTTCTACTTTTACTCAAGTACAAGATCTGAGTACTTCTACTTTTACTCAAGTACAAGACCTGACTGCTTCTATTTTTACTAAAGTACAAGATCTGAGTACTTCTACTTTTACTGAAGTACAAGATCTGAGTACTTCTACTTTTACTCAAGTACAAGATCTGAGTACTTCTACTTTTACTCAAGTACAAGATCTGAGTGCTTCTACTTTTACTCAAGTACAAGACCTGAGTGCTTCTACTTTTACTCAAGTACAAGATCTGAGTACTTCTACTTTTACTGAAGTACAAGATCTGAGTGCTTCTACTTTTACTCAAGTACAAGATCTGAGTGCTTCTACTTTTACTCAAGTACAAGACCTGAGTACTTCTACTTTTACTGAAGTACAATATCTGAGTGCTTCTACTTTTACTAAAGTACAAGACCTGAGTGCTTCTACTTTTACTAAAGTACAAGACCTGAGTGCTTCTACTTTTACTCAAGTACAAGACCTGAGTACTTCTACTTTTACTGAAGTACAAGATCTGAGTGCTTCTACTTTTACTCAAGTACAAGATCTGAGTGCTTCTACTTTTACTCAAGTACAAGACCTGTGTGCTTCTACTTTTACTCAAGTACAAGACCTGAGTGCTTCTACTTTTACTCAAGTACAATCATTAATAATTCCTTACATTTATTATAGCGCTTTTTCCCGATGCTCAAAGCGCTTTACAAATACACATTACACATATCATACATGCAATGGTCACCACTGTGGACAATACCCACACAAGACCTGAGTACTTCTTCTCCCTCCTGTTCCTGGATGGTATAATACATAGATATATACAGTGTATATATAGAGTATATATCAGTGTATATTAGTATATATAGATTGTATATGTACCTGCACAGATGTGGGAGGGGCTTAGCCCCCGCAGCTCAGACAGGAAGTGGAACCCAGCTGCTGTCAGTCGGCTCTTCACAGCTGGACTGAGAGAACAGCTGGAGATCTGCATTTTCATCTGAGTATACAGAGTGTACGTTAGAGAGAGAGGCCATTATGGGGGAACGAACATCAGACAGGCCGATCAGGAGCCCGACGCGAAGCCGAGGGATCTAGATCTGCATGAAAATCGACCGAACTTCTTTCTGCAGATGTGAGCGTCCTTAACAACGGTCTGTCTGTTCTGGATTAACAACGTGTCACGTGTTCTGAATTGACCAATCCGAATCGAGTATTTAACTAAGCCATGTAATAAAAAGTATGAAATACTCTTTAAACTGTGTATAAAGTATTAAATACTCTTTAAACTGTGTATAAAGTATTAAATACTCTTTAAACTGTGTACTACCTGCTCTTCACCACTCGCGTTTCCCAGCATGCCTTTCGCCTCTGAGGAGCCTTACTTCCGGTTTCACAGTAAAGGTTGTATTCAGTTGATCGATTTCTCTTATTGTGAATTTGTTTGCGTTTATGTGACCTGTAAGTAAACAATAATAAACACTTAGTGTATCTCTAACAACAGCTGATAGTAAACAATAATAAAAACGTAGTGACGTCACTCCAACAACAGCGGAGAGTTGACATGCTTTTATTCTGAAGGCATTTCCGGCCGTTCAGAGCAGCTGATCGTCGCCCTGCGTGTCGTCATCAAGACGCGACACAAGGAGCACGTGAGAAGAGCCGTTTGTTATTTTCTTATTCCGAAGGTGAGTTTAGAGTTTATATTATAACGCTTATATAATATATAGGTGAGTTTAGAGTTAATAAGCAGTGTTACGCGTTACAACTGTAACACTGCTTATTAAGTAACGGAGTTACACTAATGGGTTACTTCTTGCTGTCACGAAGTAATGTTTATGTTTATTAAGGATCCCAAGTAGCTTTTGCTCTTGACAAAAGCTACTCTTCCTGGGGTCCGACACTGACAACAACAATACAACAATAATACAACAAAATTCAAGACATAAGTCCTGCATCATTAACAACATCATCAACCATTTCCAATATCATCAACAATCTCATCCACTTTCAATATCAATCTCAGCCAAGGATGAGTGCAGACCCCCACCTGCACGAAGCATGAGGTCACATTAAATGAGGGTTCACAGTTCACAGGGCACATGGTCATTAGTAGATGGCCCTTCAATCTGTTGTTGAGAGAGGCTCTGGACTCTCTGTCAGCGAGGTAGTAGTTAGGCAATGAGTTCCTTTATAGCTCATTCACACCAACGCAGCTCCGGTTCAAGCTCCGTGCTAGAGCTTTTCAGGTTTGTGTGTGTGTGTGTGTGTGTGTGTGTGTGTGTGTGTGTGTGTGGTGTGTGTGTGTGTGTGTGTGTGTGTGTGTGTGTGTGTGTGTGTGTGTGTGTGTGTGTGTGTGTGTGTGTGTGTGTGTGTGTGTGTGTGTGTGTGTGGTGTGTGTGTGTGTGTGTGTGTGTGTGTGTGTGTGTGTGTGTGTGTGTGTGTGTGTGTGTGTGTGTGTGTGTGTGTGTGTGTGTGTGTGTGTGTGTGTGTGTGTGTGTGTGTTGCATGTATTGCATGTAGCAGCCGTGTGTGTGTAAACTGCCCGCCCCCTCAAAAATAGTAAAAATAATCATAGAAGCATTTTTAAGTCTTTTTGCGTATTAGAAACGAAGTTGGCGACACTACAACTGCAATACAATGTTTGTGTAGCAATAATACATAATACATATATTTTAGATGTCTCCAGTACCGATAAAAAGACCGCTAACGTCGGAGTTTAACGGTACCACGGTCTTTAATAATTCAGCCCCGGGGCCCGTTTAATACCGGGGCTCGGTACCCATCCCTAATGAGGATTGCTGCTTAACATCTGTCTGGATCCGAACACCATTGCTTTTGTTTTTGCAACGTTGAGTACCAGTTTGTTATTGTTGACCCAGTCTGCTATGGCTTTAATCTCTATTTTAAGTAGACAGTTTAACTCACTGCATGTTGATACTGTACATTGTGGAATCATCAGCATACATTATTACACTGGACTTATTTAATACGTAAGGAAGGTCATTTGTGAATATAGAATACAACAAAGGCCCAAGCGAACTCCCCTGTGGGACCCCACACTGCAACACCTTACTTTCAGAAACGCTCCCATTGAAAAAGACTTGCTGCCTTCTGCTAGTCAGGTAGCTCTCCATCCAACACATAGCAACAGAACCAAAGCCATAGCAACAGAACCAAAGCCATAGCAATAGAACCAAAGCCAGAGCAACAGAACCAAAGCCATAGCAACAGAACCAAAGCCATAGCAATATAACCAAAGCCAGAGCAACAGAACCAAAGCCATAGCAACAGAACCAAAGCCATAGCAATAGAACCAAAGCCAGAGCAACATAACCAAAGCCAGAGCAACAGAGCCAGAGCAACAGAACCAAAGCCATAGCAACAGAACCAAAGCCAGAGCAACAGAACCAAAGCCAGAGCAACATAACCAAAGCCATAGCAACAGAACCAAAGCCATAGCAACAGAACCAAAGCCAGAGCAACAGAGCCAGAGCAACAGAACCAAAGCCATAGCAACAGAACCAAAGCCAGAGCAACATAACCAAAGCCAGAGCAACACAACCAAAGCCATAGCAACAGAACCAAAGCCAGAGCAACAGAGCCATAGCAACAGAACCAAAGCCATAGCAACATAACCAAAGCCAGAGCAACAGAGCCATAGCAACATAACCAAAGCCACAGCAACAGAACCAAAGCCAGAGCAACAGAACCAAAGCCAGAGCAACAGAGCCATAGCAACAGAACCAAAGCCATAGCAACATAACCAAAACCAGAGCAACAGAACCAAAGCCATAGCAACAGAACCAAAGCCATAGCAACAGAACCAAAGCCAGAGCAACATAACCAAAGCCAGAGCAACAGAGCCATAGCAACAGAACCAAAGCCATAGCAACAGAACCCAAGCCAGAGAAACAGAGCCATAGCAACAGAACCAAAGCCATAGCAACATAACCAAAGCCAGAGCAACAGAGCCATAGCAACAGAACCAAAGCCAGAGCAACAGAACCAAAGCCAGAGCAACAGAACCAAAGCCATAGCAACATAACCAAAGCCAGAACAACAGAGCCATAGCAACAGAACCAAAGCCAGAGCAACAGAACCAAAGCTATAGCAACAGAACCAAAGCCAGAGCAACAGAACCAAAGCCATAGCAACATAACCAAAGCCAGAGCAACAGAACCAAAGCCGTAGCAACAGAACCAAAGCCAGAGCAACAGAACCAAAGCCATAGCAATAGAACCAAAGCCATAGCAACAGAACCAAAGCCATAGCAACAGAACCAAAGCCATAGCAACAGAACCAAAGTCATAGCAACAAAACCAAAGCCATAGCAACATAACCATAGCAACATAACCAAAGCCATAGCAACAGAACCAAAGCCAGAGCAACATAACCAAAGCCATAGCAACAGAACCAAAGCCATAGCAACAGAACCAAAGCCAGAGCAACAGAGCCATAGCAGCAGAACCAAAGCCATAGCAACAGAACCAAAGCCATAGCAACAGAACCAAAGCCATAGCAACATAACCAAAGCCATAGCAACAGAACCAAAGCCATAGCAACATAACCAAAGCCAGAGCAACAGAACCAAAGCCAGAGCAACATAACCAAAGCCATAGCAACAGAACCAAAGCCAGAGCAACAGAACCAAAGCCAGAGCAACAGAGCCATAGCTACAGAACCAAAGCCATAGCAACAGAACCAAAGCCATAGCAACAGAACCCAAGCCATAGCAACATAACCCAAGCCAGAGCAACAGAGCCATAGCAACAGAACCAAAGCCAGAGCAACAGAACCAAAGCCATAGCAACATAACCCAAGCCAGAGCAACAGAGCCATAGCAACAGAACCAAAGCCAGAGCAACAGAACCAAAGCCAGAGCAACAGAACCAAAGCCATAGCAACATAACCAAAGCCAGAGCAACAGAGCCAGAGCAACAGAACCAAAGCCATAGCAACAGAACCAAAGCCATAGCAACAGAACCAAAGCCAGAGCAACATAACCAAAGCCATAGCAACATAACCAAAGCCAGAGCAACAGAGCCATAGCAACAGAACCAAAGCCATAGCAACAGAACCAAAGCCATAGCAACATAACCAAAGCCAGAGCAACAGAACCAAAGCCATAGCAACAGAACCAAAGCCAGAGCAACAGAGCCATAGCAACAGAGCCAGAGCAACAGAACCAAAGCCAGAGCAACAGAGCCATAGCAACAGAGCCAGAGCAACAGAGCCATAGCAACAGAGCCATAGCAACAGAACCAAAGCCATAGCAACAGAACCAAAGCCATAGCATTTGAGTTTGTTCAGCAGCAGACTGTCATCGATCACATCGAAAGCTGCGCTAAAGTCTAACATCACAGCTCCTACAAGCCTCCTATCATCCATATTCTTAAGCCAGTCGTCGGTCATTTGTGCAAGTGCTGTTCTGTAGAGTGACCGTCTCCATAGGCATGTTGGTACTTCGTTGTCAGATTGTTACTTGAAAAGTAGTATTGAATTTGGGTGTTCTATTTGTTCTATGAATTGACTCTGGGAGGAGACGTATAGGTCGACTGTTGGAACCAGCAAAGGTCTTTCTTTGATCCGGGATGACCTTGGCTTCCTTCCAGATCTCGGGGCACACGCCTTGCTCTAAGCTTTTATTAAAAATATGACTCAATGGCTTGGATATGTATTTGGCCGTCATTTTGAGCAGTTTCCCATCCAAGCTGTCGATCCCAGGAGATGTATCATCGGGCTGATGTAAAAGCATATTTTCAACACATTGTTCTGTAACATTGTGGAATTCAAACGTGCACTGCTTTCCCCTCATGATACGATCTTTAATGACGTGACACTGTGTCCTCGACTGCACCCATGGCATTCCTCAGCTTGTCTACTTTATTTGTCAAATAATCATTAAAAGGATATCTGCTGGCTTGGTAATGAATGTACCCTCGGTTTCTATAAAGGAAGGATGCACGTTTGAGCTCCTCCCCATTATGTTATTCAATACTTTCCATCATTCGTAGAATCACTGATTTCCTGTAGTATTCCCTCTTTCTACATTTATTCAATTTGGTTAGGGTTAGGGTTAGGGTTAGTAGTGCTGGGGGGAAACGATTATTTTGAAAACGATTAATCGGGCGATTATTTGATCGATTAGTCGACTAATCGAACGATTATTTTTCTGTTGTTCAATTCATAAAAAACGTAATGTAAAAAAAACGTAATGTAAACACATTTTTTTTCACGATACTGTGTCTCAGGGGATCTTAATATTTAAGAACCTATTAATGTGTTATACCAGATTAACGGAAATAATCTCAGCTAACTCACGATACAAACCATGTTTATCAACACAAAACAAAACACAAGTCTC